TTATTCTGGACCGACAGAAAGTCTGGCCTCAGGTACAGTAACGCTGTGATCTTTCCCAATGACCTTTGACCTAGACTCACCACTTTAGCCCAGTGTGACAGCAGCAGACGGTTGTCGTCCAGAATCAGGACGTGTGTGTTTGGGTACGGTGACGAATGTAAGGCAGGGCCCAGGTCCAAAGCCACCCAGTCCCGCTGCTCCTCTGGGGTGAAGCCCAGAGCCTGAAAACTGCAGCGACAGAGTTCCCTTTCAGTCTGCAGTTGGAACCACTGAGGCGTTTCATGTCATTTCATCTCCACAAAAGGAAGAGACAGACCTGTAGTTCGAAATTCGTCCTGCAGAGGGTTCATTCCCCGTGGTCACGGCCCAGAAAGTCAGGTTATGTTTAGCGTACTCCTCCAGGAACCTGGAGAAAAAAAAAACTGAAGATTCAACTAAATTAATTTTCCTTCTATTCGGAATCCTAAAGTTCCTCCTCTCACCTGACGTAGTACTGAGCCCAGGCTTTGTGCTCCTTTCCACCAGGCTGGCCTAACAGAGAGCCTTTTCCTATGAGTGCACCGTTGGTCTTCATCCAGGAGGGGGCGCTCCACGCACTGGCCAGTAGAGACAGAGGGCGAGGAGACAAAGCCTGAGCCCGCTGCAGGAGAGGGATCTGAGCAGAGGAGAGGAGAAAGAAGAGAGTGTGTGTGTGTTATCAATATTTCAGAATAATTTATTTGGTTCTGATTTTTTCAGAGCAGTCGTCCTCCTGGGGCAGAGACCTGACGGTAACAACACTTCCTTTTTCCATATTCATTTTTATGGTTCTGACTTTTTTAGGCCAAAAATTAATGCTAATGATGTAAAAACCACTTTTTTTTATTCTTCCATTAAAGTCTGTGTGTGTGTGTACTGTGTATCTGTGTGTGTGTACTGTGTATCTGTGTGTGTGTGTGTATCATAGTACATTTGTACACGATCTGTGAAATACTTTTTTTTTTTTTGCTGGAATTCGTTGAGCCGTTGACCCAGAACCCACTTCCAATAAAAGGGAATTTTGTTTTAAAGGACTAGTAACACTGTGTCACGTCACTTTACGGGACCAGGGTCCAATCACCTAACAGAGACGTCAAGGCAGCCAGCCAATCAGGGACGGCCCAACATTATTTGTGAATTTGATGATGTAAAATAGGGTTGTTTTGAACACTGCTAAGCTAAGCTCAAATAAACCAGCCAGGTCCAGTGTTTATAGACACAGTTTCATTCAATTGTTGCTTTCGTTTTTAGTGAAGTTCGTACCAGTTCCACTAAATGCTGCTAAATATGTTCTTTTTATTTTTAGCATAAATGCCGTTCTTTACTACCAGCTGTACTCTGTGACCCCTAACAACAGCCCTTTGTTCTAAATACCTACGGTCATTTCCTCTTTTTTTTTTTTTGCATCTAAACATCACCTTCCCACAACAGATGCCACACAGAAAGGGGCAATGAATTCTGGGAAGAGAAAACCAGAGCTACAGTCCCAACCTTCATGTTGACGTCCTCCTGGGCCAGAGAGAAGTGGTCCAGGTCGTAGTCTCCAGGCGTGTCAGCGTACGTGTACAGTCGGGTGGAGAAGTCACAGCTGGCCATGGGGACACGTACAAAGGTGTAGCCGATACCTGCCCCCGGCGCAGGGGACGCACATATATATACACAGAAATACATACTGTATATACATATATATGCACATATATACAAACTGCATTTATATATACAAATATATATCTCCTGTATATTTAAAACTATTAAGTACATATATAAGCTATCCGTTTCATATAAAACAAAACAGACCATACATAAAATATATGTACCATAGTACATATACAGTATATTTATTTAAGGGCTTTTTGTACGGCATTCGTATGACCTCCCAGTGTTCGGGGTCACTGTTTCCTCTGAACTGAACATAGGTGTGAATGTGAGTGTGAAATGCTGCCCTCATCTGCCAATGCTGGGAGTGGC